TGAGAAGTTACACCGTTTTGATTATGTGCTTAGAATTAATGTTAAAATAGTTGTTTCACATATAGGTGAGACGTTTCCGGATGACGAGCGCAGCCGGGCGAGAATTGGGGATTTAGACCCTGCTACATACTAGTGAGTGGGCTTTTGGTTTTCTATCTATACACACACACACACACACACATAGGCGTTTCCCATAATTTGCTTTAAATGGAATTTCATTTAAAATGCCATGTCGTATTTGCTTTACATTTTAGCATATGCATTAGTATAGCTTTGCATAATATTACATGATGCTACGGAGGCCCAGGTAAGTTTAGGTGAGTATATATTGACGGTATGGTTGCATGGTAGTTGATTATGAGTTGATGCACGTAGAGCTCATTGTCATGTACCCCAGTGTTAGTGCTTCGCCCGTGGCCAGGGCCTAGCCTTCACATGATCGTTCACCTCCCTTACCACACTCTCAACTTGGATTCAAGTCAGGTGCCAGCCTGTTGTGCAGACCACATTAGGTGGTTCTGACTCGTAGGTGACTTGCAATTCGTCGCAACCTTCAAGTGATCATAGCACTTAAGCGTACAGACCACATTAGGTGGTTTCGACTCATGTGCAAGTTTAGAGCCGTACAGGTCACATGAGGTGACTCCGGCTGGATTGATGAGCAATAGGTTCAGCCGTACAGGTCACATTAGGTGACTACGGCTAGCATATAACTTTTACATTGATTTATATCACCTGGCTTACATATTTACTGCTGAGATAGTGACATGGCATATACTTGGTTTTCTTTACTCTCGAGCTTGATTTCTATAAATACATATGTATTATTATTTTTTGGGAAATTATACGGGTTTTATGGTGAGGGGTTATTACTTTTGAAAAGTGAAAAGGTTTTTAAAAGCTTTGTTTTTGCCCACTCACGTTTTCTGTTTTGTGCCCCTCCAGGTTTTAGTTAAATGTTCGTGTTGGTGGCTTACGAGGACTCTACGGCAGTTTTGATAGACTCCAATTAATGTAGGGTTTTTTTTCATATACTGTATAATTAATATTTTGTCTGCTGGACTGCACTTAGGTTATCCATGCTGTGATAATGTGTATTTGTGCTTTAAACATCTTCACTCGCACTTCTATACTTACGTTGTGTAAATTAGTTCGTTTTGGTTTTTAATTACTCACATTTTCATATCATTATCACCTACGTCACCCTCACGTGACAGCGAACATGCCTCGATTTAGGTCGGGGTGTGTCAGTAGCACGGATAGAAAAACCCTTGTATCATGTGCAGTGCTTTCCCATATGGCACAAGGAAATATGAATTGCATGTCAAAATTACATGCAGCCATAAAGGTTTGAGTCGACATTCCTTTCTTACCAATGTATAGAACTTGATCCGGAGGTGGCATTGAAGCCTCAACATTTACTCCATCTATGGCACCAATACAATCCTAAAAATAATAACATAGACGAAAACCATCAACCTACACGTATAGTATGCAAACACTTATAGTTTGCAAATAAGTTAGAAGACGAGTCAAACTTTACCTTAAAATGAGGCATGTATCTTGTATCTCTCCTTATTTCTTGGGGAATGCCACAAAACTCCGAATCCAACGGTTTGATAATATCTATTGCCATCTTACATACGATATCCAATATAGCAACAAAATATCTACCAACAGTCTCACCAGAATGTTGAAATCTCTCTTGCGCTAATCTATTTTTCACACATGTCCCAACATATGCAAGAACATTCCTAATATTTCAGTTGCACTCATTCTCCTTAAACCTTTCAATCCATAATTAGTTTACAAGTCATTGGATAATCTATAAAAGACATCTTTGTTCATCCTAAACATTCTATAGCATCGCACATCATTCCTTGTAGCACTTCCATCAACCAAATATTACCTGTTTGGGAAGAATTCATACACGGAGTTTTGTGGACATATTTTAAATAATATGTTTCAACAGCTTTCGGTACAGCACATATAATTAGACCATCCTCCAAATCCTCAACATCATCATCAGAGGTGTTCATATTGAATATACACATGTAACCTAACACATAATTCAACATTCCACAAGCCATAATCCAACAATCACTAAGAAGTCATAATCCGACATTCAAGAATAAGTCATAATCCAACGTTTAACAAGAAATCATAATCCAACATTCAATAAACACAACATACAAGCAACATTCAACACATAACCTTAATGCAAAGTACAAACCACACATAGTCCTAATTCATAGTTTTAGCTCCTTATTGTTGTTTGTTGAACATGTATTTCAACCAAGTCAGCTAGACTTCAGGATCTTTTATCGTGGCAAACACCTCTCGCTTCTCTGCACTACAAAATAAACATGTAGCAAACAACCATAACTCGGTGGCTCATTACCAGGCAATTGTGCAATAGTCGCTATCACTTCCAGAATATTACTGCCTATATGCAGCGGCCTCATCAATGAGTTTGCAGAACTCCTAGTTTCATAAGCTTCAACAAGACGGTCAATTTAAAAAGAACAAGTATATATGTGGTGCCTCAAAATTGGGAGCTCGGAACCCCAGAGAGACCCCTTTGGACTCAGTTCTAGCGGCTCGAACAACAAGCTTTGTTGCAGGCAGAGCGGTCCTACTACATGTATTTGTAGAATTGAAGGATGGGTAGGCTTATACACTTAAGGGGAGGTTCAAGGTCACACCTTTTCACTACAGAATATATACCTAAACCCTAAGATAAATTAGAAGCAGAGTTCACAGACCAATTCAGAGCAGTTCACAGAGCAATTGAGATAATGACAAACAAGAAATTAATCTAAAAAATGTAATCAACAACTATAAACATGTTTCCTCCAGACCTTTTAAAAAAAATGAATAGAGAATTAATCAATTTTTCTTACTTCTCTCTCAATTTTTCTTGTTTCCTCCACAAACCCTAATTTTTTCCCCAATTAATTTTTTTCCACAAACCATATCACCTTTCCCCAATTAATTTTTTCCTAACCCTCCATCCGCATTTTTTTTTCCCGACACCCATACACTCATCCCTTCACTCTTCCCACCCCTCTTTCACTCACTCTCCCATTCCCAAATTTAAAAATACAAACAAATAAATAACGAAATTTTAGACAAGAGAAGCTTACCAGAGGAAGGACGCCGAGTCGGAGAACGCAACCTGGAGAACGAGAGAGATCGCTGGGAGGAAGGAAGTTTCAGGTTGGGGATTGGGTTTGGGGCGACGAGTTGGGTGTGAATGAGTGAGATGGGAGGGAAAGAACTAGTGAGATGCTAGAGCAAGGAAGAGGACAACACGAGGGGTGAGGGTGAGATCGGCATTTGAAAACTTTCATTAAACATTACTGTTCACCCGTGTTTCTAAGATAAAAAGTTAGTTTTTGAAAGCAGCAAATAGTTGCTTCCACTTTCTAGCTATTTCTCGCAGCAATTTTGAAAATAAGTGCTTTGTTGCTGAGTTACCAAACACAATATTGAGCTTAACTTATTTTCATCCTTGCTTTTAAAAAAAATTTAAGCAGTACCAAACTGGTACTAACTTAGATGATTGAAAATAATAAGAAATTGTTGTGATGGACACACCCACAATTTATAAAATAATCACTTAAGAAATATAAGAATAGCTAAAACAACACATCTTCGGGGAGAATTAAATTAAATAGCTTTGGTACCAGATAATACTATGCATACTAGCCTCTCCGCACCCGCTCACATGCATGCGAGAGGCATTAATTTCATTCTCTCCTAGTATGCATATATTATTTGGTACCAAAGTTGTTTAATTTCATTCTCTCCGAGTGTGAGAGGTTTTGTCTTCTTGAGAGTCCTTCCCACCATTAGTGTGAGTAGCTTCCAACCCGTCGATTTCATTGCTGCCGGCTCTCGTCGTGGCAAGGGTCGGTGGAAGATCTGGCCGCTTTCTTTCTTTTTCCTCCTTCCGTTCCTTTTGCTTCCTCTCTCCCCATCTATCCTTCCTATTTTAACAAGTCCGTTATACCTTATGGGCATTCTTTTTCTATCTGATCTGCAATCGGCTTTCAACGCATTTTGATGCGCTCTTTCGAGAAGGTGGGTAGAGTTCTGGTTATGCCGGGTCGGGTGTTTACAACACCACCTCCTTCTCTCTATCTACCTTTGTTGGCGATGTTGTCCATTGTAATCTAACGGGCTTCTTTCAATTTTTGGCTGAGACCGGTGCAGCGTTCATGGCTGGGAGACTGGGTGTGACTTCATTTCATCTCTACGATGCTGCTTGGTGGGAGTTGTGGCATCGATTTGGGAAATCGGTTTTGGGTGATCGGGAAGAACTATTGCGGTAGTGGGAGCAATCTGGAATGTTCTGGAGCTCTATATCAAAATTTGGATGGCCCCTTTTTGTCTTGTTAATATTTTTTTGTGGGCTTCATCTTGTAGTTAACTTTTGTAATAAAACTTCCTTTCTACGGATAGGATTTATAAAAAAAGCTGTTTAATTCCTCAACAGCCAATAATCCTACCCACGAATCCCATCAATCTTCTTGCATAATTAGGGTTACCGATTGTATAACCCACACGTGAGCAGTCACATGCTCCTTGAAATCTCACTCATCCCAACTCACATATATATATCCTCGTTTGCTTTTTATAATATTAAAAAGTCCGAAATAACCGTGAAACCAAATCATGTCCAAGACATGAATGAAAAATTTAACGGGAAGAGTGAAATAACAAATTAATGATTTTGAAAAGTTGAAACCAACCCCCCCCAAAATTCCAGCAAAAAAATAAAAAACAAAAATCAAAAATCAAAATGGTTATCAAATACTCTTAAGAAAGTGGTACTATCAAAGTAACTTAAAAAAGACAACGAGAATTTATCTGAAACTAGTTTCTGGCAGAAACAGTTAAACCAAAGATCCTACTGTATACTACATAGCAGCAAGGGAGGGAGGAATTACTAAAACTTCAAAATCAGGGTGACTTACCAGAAAGCACCTTAGCAATTACGGTAGCAAAAACCAAAGCAGCCTTCAAGAAGATGGGAGTTGCATTTTTACAAAAAGCAAAGAAAATATTTTCTATCAAACTATAACAGTGTTTCTGTGCTGAATTTGGCTGTAAACATACATTATAAACATGCAGAAACAATTTCGAAACAGGGAATTCTCATTCAACAAATCAAACATAAAAAAATGGACACATGATTTGCTGTTTTGGTTAGACTGTAGGCTCGTTGGTACCTTCTCATTCTTGCATTAAGTCTGGTAAAGCACTGCCATCAGAATCATCATCCAGATCTACAGAGCTATCAGCTGAGAATACAAAAGCAGGAGAACCATTTTGCACATTGCTAGGGCCATTTTCTGGATCTTCTGGAATGGGAGCAGCAGTGACGGTTTCTAGGTCTTCCTGAAACACAGCACCGTCGTCATCTAATTGATAGAGAAGCACAGGTAGTCTCCCTGGAGGTACAAGCTCAAGCTTGTGTTCTGGTTTATGTTGCTGATTGAATCGGCCAGGGATATTAGAAGGCTCATTGTAGCATGCTCCACATAAGTCAAAACCTATTTTCTCCACGCAGTCTTTGCATTTGTACCTCTCCCCAATAATTGGAGATACCTGCAAAGAAGAGCATAGTGCCTTACAAGTCAAAAGACAAGAAATAATACAGCACTTCTTACTATGATTTGCGGGGAACTCCCAGTTATTTTATTATTAAATTATTCTTTTCTGAACACTTTATCAACACAACAATTGTTTCCAACTGTGTCCCATACTCTGATCATTTGAATGCTTAAAAGTTCACCCCATTTGCTTACAGAAAGGAGTACAGACGTGGCAGAAGTGTAGACACAGGTCAAACTAGTTGAGTGATTATATACATGAAATCAAAACAAGAAAAATGTATCCATAGCATATTATTTATTTGACTATCAAATAATTCATTCCAAATTTTCCACTGGTCAGCCGGCTTCTCAAAAATGTCCAGTTAAGTCTTCTCTCTTTAACTTGCATCATATCATGAACACTCTTATACCAGAAATATCAATTTATTATTTGATATTGGTGAAAATTTGGAAAAGAAAAACTTTATAGGATTTTGCAGTGCAGGGGAAAATGTTATAATTTTCGACTCCACTCTATTTGGTGTCCTATTTTTTAATTACCCTATCTAATTGAATGAGATTTCTCAGAGATATATCCCATTTTTTTTCTCGAGTTAACCAAAAGAAAGAGGTTAATTGCATAAGTTTCAAACTCAAATTTTTCTTAATAATCAGTTTTATCTTTTCTCCCACCTTCAGAAAACTAAAGCATAAGCATTTTCACTATCATTCTAATTTGATCTTGTTCTTTAATGTATCTGGCAATAGACTAAACTCAGAGAATAGAGAATAACTACAAACACACAAGATTTAATCTGGTTCGGCAGAACTTTTTGCCTACGTCCAGTTGTGGTTATCTGGATAGAGAAATGACAGCTTCTTTAATTAATAGAGAGTAAACAGTGCTTTTGTAAACCCTAGAACTAATCCCTCTCTTTCTCTTGGTCTTGTTCTCTTTGCCCCTTGCTGCACCCTATTTATGAGTATAGGGTGCGGGTTACACACCTATTTACTGATTAGGACTCCCATTCTATTTGGAATAGGAAGTCCACTTAAATTCCTATAGCGTTTCTGCTTCTAGGATTCCGAATCTAATTGTACAAGAAAACTTAATTCTTTCTTAATCCTTGTAGGACAAGAAGATGTGCACCTTTAGCTTTCCTAATACAATCCCTAATAAAATAGGACACAACCATTGACGAGTCAATTCCTAATAGAAAAGTGGTTTTTTTATTTTTATTTTTTCACAAAAATGAACCATAATACATGATATCCTCCGAACAGGTGATATCCCCCACACCCATCTCCTACAGTATTGGGTAATTGCTAGAAAAATCTCTTGGGACCTACAAATTTAAGTTTGATCCATTGACTTTTAAGATCAAGTTAACAACAAATGAAGCAAGCCCTTGGCCCTTATTCCTAAATGTAAAGTTGATATGAATTAAAGAAGGACAAAGGACATTACCCCACAGCAATCACAACCAACTCCGTAATGAACTTTCTGCCCAACCCAGCAAGATAAGTACTCATCAGAAAGTGTCGAAGATGACTGGTCAGCACGTTGACGAACATGCACTGAACGTAAAATCAATTTAATCTCATTTGAGCGCCAGAAACAAGACGGAAATAAGAAATGCAGGAAAAGCAATTAAGAAGAAAAAGGAAAGAGTACTCGAAACATCGGTAGTACTAAATCAATATAACTGCAGTATGAGTCTATGACTAATTATATCATCGACATAGTTGAGTGCAACATTAAAATATTGAATTCAAACCCTGAATCTGAACGATCTTCCAACATGATGTTTCTCTCTGTTTTATACCATTTATAGATAAGACTAAAATAAGATGCCTGATATAAACAAAAATTTTAAAAATTTCAAGTAATATTTTACCATCAGAAATTTGGTTTTAGGAGAAAATGGAAAACAAGAACGATCTGTAACTCTGATTATTAAATAAGATATTTGACTATTTATTTAATTTCCAGTTATAGCTTAGAACAGTCCGGTTTTGTTACAATACCAATTTCCGAGACATAATCAATGCTCCTATTCTAGATAATAATAATGCTATTGGAAAATAAAGAAGCATCAAAATAATAGAAATTCTTAAGACTGTCATACGTTTTAGTGATGATACTCGTCGCTGCAAATAAATTTCAGGATATTGCTCCTCCAAGAAGTGCTCTAAAATTTCGCAAACACTAGGGAACCCCTTCGGATGCATGCTTTGACAAATCTGACACTTATAAATTCCATCAGCTGGAATGTTGATACAGGACTCACAATATACTGCACAAAAGAAAGTCTAAATTAGTATATATTCACATGCGCATAACTCTGACTACAACATACAGTTAAATGATATGGTTACCATGACCACAATTGAGAACAACAGGTTGAAAGAGCAGGTTCTTGCATGCAGCACACAGTAGATCAGAAACAGAAACTCTCTGGTGAGTTCCATTTCCAAGATTGCAATCACGTGAACAGCCTTCTTGGATTGCTGCATTTCCAGTAGCTTCATTCTGTTGCAGGGCTTGAAATATTAACTTCATAATCTAACATTGTTCCTGGAGAATTTACAAGTCAGGAAGATTGTCCTACCCCAGAAGAACAACTTTCAGAGTTCTTTGAGTGAACATTGCCCAGAATATTTGACTCCTCAATACGATGTGATGCGGATAGTGAATTATCAAATTGAGGCGAGAAGAAACCAACTTCCTTTTCTTCTTCTGGTAGAGCCAAGGAAGAAATGCAATAAATTATTTAACACATACTCTGTGAGATTGCAACTGCCATACAAATCAACTAAAGCTTCAGCACAAAGTATGATTATTCAGAATGTCAAAATAATATGGACACCCATCAATATAAAGAACATCATTCTTTAAGTGTCAACCCCAAACAGAAGAACCAAATGATACAGAAAAGACAATGTAACACTTCCAAATCTACTATCCACCAGCACATCGCATTAAAAGAGCCTAACCATTGTTTGAAGGTTTCCAAACCATTATTGCACTTCTAATATGAATTTTATTTATAAATACTATAATTTGTTGAAGGTTATGTGACCCTTTATCCACTCCTACAAAATATAGAGATGTCTTGTCTTATTGGATACAACGGACCTGGATACAACCATATCAGTTTCCAGAGATTACTTACCAGTTTATACACATATTATACGTTACAGCAGTCTAAAAGGAGTAAAAATGCACAATTTTGAGTTTAACGAAAGGCCACTTTGCGCTTGCAAAGTACCATATTCCAGAAAACCCAGTCCATCCCATGCCAAAACCCAGTCAATCCCATGCCATGCTGCCACTCTCCAAGGCATAGAGGTAAAAACCATTTGTTGCAATCATGGATTTTTGAGAGCTTTGGTGCAAAACTAATAGGTTTCCTTTTTATGATCACTTATACTCCTGAAAGGATAACAGAACACCATCAAAATTGATGGAAGAAGAAGCTACATTATTCAGTCCTATCATTGTGGTTGGATTAGACTTTGGAGCAGATTTCTGTCATTAGTTTCTCATTTACTTTATTAAATTCCCTTGTCTAGCAGGACTACGCCTATTAATTTTATAAATTCTTCCCTTGAATTCAATGGAGAATGCTGATGAATGAATACAACTACTATCAGAAGTTTTTTGGACTTGTTCCTTTGAAAGGAACTTCAGTGTGATGCCCACATAGTGAACCAAGACCTAAAAATTCACTTATATTCTCCATCATTTTACTGGTATCACAAGCAGCCCTTACATATTACTTAACACTCTGAGGAACCAATGTAGATTCTAAAGGATTCGTGCTCATAAAAAAATTACTTTTTATGAAGACAATTTCAAAGGCAAAGTGAGTCTATAAGTAGAGATAGAAAGTAGTGAGCATAGTAAATCATACAAAATGGTAGGAGATTCAAGACGGTAAATGTTCAAGAGATTCGGTAAAGCACACCTTCCACTTGTTTTCCTCTTCTTTCGTACACTCCAGGATACAACTTCTGGAGCAAGAAATGTATCAACTGACAGATACTCGGAAAATGATTGAATGGGTCCCGACAAATGGGACAATAGGACTCGTGAAAAGCATTCATGGTGTTAAAGACACACCAGAAGCATGAAATGTGGCCACAACCTGCAAACATCATAAAGTCATCAAAAAGGGAATGAAACATATATTTCAAAATGTTGTTCAATGGCCTGATTCATCACCTAATACAACTGGCTTGTAAAGAAGATCCCTGCAAAGTAAAAGAAATCACCTTTAGGGATTTATCACGAAAAACCACAGAATAAAAAGTTAATTCAACTATAAATTAAGCAACCAGTATAGCCAATTTAAGCTCACTCGATCAGACTAACCGACAGCAGAATCATGCTTTTATTCTACTCAGTTTTAAAAAAATACATGTAATGAAGCTGCCTATAATTCTTCATACACTAAAATATTCATGAAGTGCTAAATCATCAAACAAAAATTGCCAGCAGCTAATTATAAAAATTAAACAAATAAATGAAATTTCAAGCGAACTGATTGTAAATTAAACACCTAATCAGTGAAACAAACAAACAAATTATGAAATTGCAAGAATTGAAGAAATTGAAGAAATAGATTCAGAAACTGACAGGCAAATGCAGCATTCAAACTCTTTTCGGAATTCCTCGTCTTCGAGCTCCTCTTGCTGTTCTTGCTGTTGTTTGATCAGGGTTTTCTCGTCTTCCATATCGTATTGTTTGATTAGGGTTTTATCGCCTTCCATTTCGCATAAAATCTGAGAGTCGGAGAGAGAGGGGGATGATGTTACAGAAATCTCAGTGGCGGGTAATGGGGGCGCCTCGACCCACACTTCATCGGCATACTATTTTACCCCCTTCAAGTTTTTGTAATTTGCAAGATGGGGTCAAGACTTTGATTTTCTATCTTATTCCGTTAAAATTGGGGGTGGGCAAACGGGTAGAGAAACCGTAGGTTAGGATGGGTAGACAAGGTTTAGGGCGGGTACTGAACAAGTCCAATTTTTTTCGAGGATAATTGGGGCAAGACACAGCGTTGATATATAGGGGTGGGCTGAGTCCTAATATTTAGAATAACGTGACATTGGACCGGCCTATTTCTAAACGTAATGAATGGAATTTCAACCGTTAATTCTCCCTACCCTAGTCCATCGGGACCCCATCCTCTCTCCCAGAGTCGAGAGTCTCCAAACCATTCACACTCTTCTATCTTCTCCTCATTGACGACATCACCCTTTGCAACTCCATACTCACTCTTCTCAATGCTGTTGAGACCAAATTGCCCTTAACATTCCGTGTTTTGTAAAATTACCAAATTGCCCTTGACATTCGATATTTTATAAAATCTTCATTCTAGCTTCAAATTTTGATCCACTTGTGTTCACACGTTCGTATCGATCGACGAGTTCTACAAATATACAACAGGAAAGGAAACAAAATACAAATTGAGCTACACATAAGATTCCACTTAGCCTAAGGGATATTTTTGTCATTTCCCACCTTTGGAGAATAAAATAGAAAAAATTAGGCATGGGTCGTAAAAAATATCCATCATCAAGCAAAACGCTCTATTAGATGTATAGTTAGGGACAATTGTGGAACCATGATTTTCCAAGGCCGGAATAAGGCAGATCGGAATATGCGTATCTCAGAAGTCCAGTCATGGACTCAACAACTCCAAATCAGGTTGAGCTACTCAAACGGACTAGTAATGCCACCACATCTTGCTATACTCTAGAAAGGTAGGTGAAGTCCACCAATTTCACTAAGAGTAACCATTCTTGTTCTGCAACACATGAAAACCTAATCCAATTGGGGATCAAAAAGGTTTCCAATATTCTTGGAGATTCCTAAAATTTAGGGATTGACGTGTGCCACAAGTAATCATACTCCTATGAGGAAACAATATCTAACCCTAGATTTCCTCTTGGATTCTCTCTGTTAATACGAATTCCAAATCATAAAGGGCCTATGTTCGACTAGTATAAGTACCCTCATCTTGGGCAAATCTCTAGTAACACTTCCATAATGCATTCATTATTCTCTTACCCATTGCTCGAATCTCAATATTGCTTACTAACTTGACCGTTAGAGAGCCTTTGGCTGGTACCTACTGTTGCTCTGACTTCAATTGTTTGCTTACTTACAGGTAGTTGGACTTGCTCACTTCCTCCGTCTGCAGCAGTGCTTGAATTTGGTTCTAATACACTACTTAAGGATGGTGAGCAAAAAATAGACTCGAAAAAACTAGCTAAAGTCGTGAGGAAAAAAGACCGTTGGACGGTTACAGTGGCAATTGCCAAATGGTGACAGTTGGGAGAGCACTTGATTGATATCCACTCAAATATATCATTGCTTTCACTCTTCACCCGCTCATATCTTCTTTGTCTTTTCTTCTTTATTTCAATTTTTGTCTGTAATTTCTCTTAGATGTCTGCAGCTTCCTCCCTCACTCTCTTTCTTCACCTCATCTTCCCCATCTTCTCCCCAAGTGCCACCACTACTACTCTGTCTCCCTACTCTCTCTCTCTCTTTCAAATCCTTAAAACCCCTCAACATCATTTGCTTCTCTTCAAATTATTCTCACAACGAAAGCAAAAAGCCGAGTGGCTCTGCAAAGAGCTACGATGGCTCCACGAGGAGCAGAAGTGGCTCTAGGAGGAATAGCACTGGGTGTGCGACCGTGACACACTCCTCCATGAGATTGCTGAGCTCAAGCTCAAAATCCAGGCTCCCGAAAGCCAGAGAGGACTAAGAGGAGGGGCTTCTGTGGTGTCGGAGTTTGACACCATTGCCAGCGTCACCGGTTTGTTTCAGATGCTTAAGGAGAAGGATTTGATAACAGATACAGGGTTGAGTCCCAAAACCGTGGAATTGGATCATCAAGAAATTTAGGAGATTCAAGAGGAGGTGATTGCTAAGAGGAAAATGACAAGGAGCAGAAGCGCTTTGCGGAAAGGATTGGAAGGTGAAGAGGTTCAAGCAATGCAGCATACTTTTGAAAGGCGAATTTTATTTTTTTGGTTTCTACGATTCCTGAGCTTACAATTAACTAAATGCATCAACTCTTTCATAGTAGAAACTAGAAAGGTGTAAAAATTTTCCAATTGGGTTTCTCTTTCTTATTCTGCATTCAAACATGTTCCAATATTCGATTGTTTGAATCGTTGATGACATGAAGCATTGCTAAAATTGGGGTTTTATTCGGGTAAGGAAGACATGGAGTTTTCCAGCTTCTCAAGCAGGACAGAACACGATGTCAAGACTTGGCAAGGAAGTTTCAGATTCGTTGTATGTGACTGCGCATCATTCGTAAAGAGAGAAATTTCAGAACAATAAGGTTAAATAAAACAATGGCAGTGGAAAGTTTTATGTGGGTTACTGAACTTGTAATAACTTGTTTGACAGGCCTCCTTAGACGTTCCTCAAGGCAGAATAGTGGTTGCATAACTTCTTGTGTATGCGGATCAACAAATTGAGGGTGTAGATGACAAAAGGGTGGCTACACCAAAGGTATGTTGGGAACATGAGGTTCTAAGCTAGCAGCATTCATACATTAGTTACGGGATGTACTGCATCAGCCTTTACTAAAAGGAAGCAACTGATGTTTTAAGTTTCAGTACCAATATATACTTCGGAATCATGCTTCGAACTAACATAATGGTTTGATAAGTCATTTACTTGCATGCCTTACTTCAGTGAAAAATAACAGTTTGCATCGTTACGAACCAAAAACTCGTTTGATTGTTCAACTTGAAGCAAATTATGCCTTCATGTACCAAAGAAGCAATCGTACTTTTTGAAAAACAAGCACTCATACTTAGTTGCGAAATTGACATAAATCTCTAACTATTCCGCTAAATTGGAAACGAAGTTTTGTGGTTAAGCTTTAGCTAGCAACTCGAAACATTGTAATGATGCTTCTAATGGTTGAGTTGGTTGTGCTGTTTAGGAGGATGCAAATGGAGGTACAGTTACTTTTGCAACTGACATATCAGAGATCCAGCAAATAGTAGTGAAAGAAGAAGGCGGTACAGAAGTAGAGGTATCCCACCATCAAGTTTTTCTCTTAAGAGAGAATCGCTGAGAAGATTCTACTAGACTTATAACCAACAAGAAAAAAGGTGGTGATGGCAATATGGCGGGTACCTCAGCAGGGTGCCTTACATGTCGAGGGGATGGCGGCATACTATGTACAGGTACTTCCTGCCTGTCTTCCGACTTTGTCACGATTTAGGTTCACTTCACTCAATCCAACCCTACTTCATACGCGTGTGTATCTTCGTTCACTTTCTAAAAGAAAATTGAACAAAGCTTTTAGTAAGTGACAGTTTTTACATGTGTAGAATGTGACGGAACAGGTGAACCAAACATCGAAGAACATGTGAGATGATTTTACACAGTAATCATTAAGTTGAATGATAGAAGTTCTTGGATTGGGTGGAGGAGGGAGCAAAATGTTCATATTGTGAAGGTCTCGGATATACGATTTGCGACGTATGGAATGGAAATCAGTAGTTTAGCCATGAAATACATACTTGTACAATTCGGTACATGTGCAATTTTATGCTATAGTGCATTTATTTGGCTGTTTAGTGACAATGTATTTAGATTTATACACGAATGCGGAAAATGTACATCTATTGTATGTTCTCCCCGCACCATCCTACAAAATCTTGGTTGAAAGAGTTAAGATTTTGTTTGTTGGAGGACTTTTAGGTTGAGTTGGACTTGAGCTTTGAGAATGTCCTCTTGTCTCCCTTGGTGCGAGTTCGCAACAAGTCTCGGGATATCTCGAAAGTGATAGCTTGTCTTAGGAAATGTCCTGGTAACATCAATGGCTCGAAGATAGCAGGAAAGATCAAGATAATGACTTACTCAAGTGAAGAGTGGTGTGGAAGCTACAAGATTATCATTTTACATGAGAGAGAAGGTTGGCATGGTTGCATGGCATTCGTGACACACCCCGACCTAAATCGAGGCATGTTGGCCGTCACATGGGGGTGACGTAGCCAACTACACAGTACGGAAGTGATAGTGATAGAAAAATACGGGTAAATAAAAACCAAATAGCTAATCGACACTAGACTAGCATATCAATGCAAGTGGAAGTGCTTAGAGTGTAGGTACATACACACAACCAGAGCGTAGGTATCAGAATGCAGTCCAGAAGTCTAATTCCTAATTATACATATCATAAAAGAAACCCTACACTGGTGGATGTCTGTCAAAACCGCCGTGAAGTCCTCATGAGCCACCAACACGAACTTCTATCTAGAACCTGGAGGGGCGCAAAACAAAAAATGTGAGTGGGCAAAAAAAAAAAACTTTTCAAAACCATTTATATTTTCAAATATAATCACCCCTCACCGTAAAACCTGTATAATTTCTCAGAAAATAGTACCATATACGTATATAATAACCCTGCTCAAAAGTAACAAGAATCAGATATATGCCATGTCAATCATCTCAACCATGAATAAGTAAGCCAGGTAGAATAACTCAATATAAAATAACATGTCAGCCGGAGTCACCTAACGTGACCTGTACGGCTGAGTCTATAACTCATCAATCAAGTCTTGCACATGAGTCGAAACCACCAAATGTGGTATGTACAACAGGCTAGGTGTAAATGAATACGCTTAAGTGCTACGATCACGTGAAGGCTGTACGAAGTATCGCAAGTCACCTACGAGTTGGAACCACTTAACGTGGTCTGTACGACAGGCTGGCATTTGCCTTGGATCCGAGGTGAGCATGTGGTGCGGAAGGTGAACGATCACGTGACGGCTAGGCCCTGGCCTTGGGCCAAGCATTAACACCAAGATGCATGATATTAATCACTAATGCAACTCATCATAATCATACTCATTACCGTCGCTAC